TTGGGAAGTGAAACTAGTGCGGAAGTGAAGCTTTAGTAGATGCACTTTTTCACAGCTCCATCCATTTTTGTTTTCTTTATAGATTACTAATCATAAAAACGCGTATAGGATATGGTAGTTGTTAAATAACTGTAAAATTTTTTCCATTTTATGTTTAAAAACGGGTAAACATACCTACTGAATTTCCGTTATTAAATATAAACATATTTTTTCGTACATCATACAATAACGGTATATTTGTAACAAAAACATAAACACACATTTGGACTATTTTCATAACTTTGTGCTTTACAACAAACAATCGAATATATATAATAATACAATTTTATGTAATAAATAAATTTTTGTAAAAATTGCAAAATTATAAAAATATTATTTAGCGCAACCATGTGACAAGTCTCCTGTTTCCATGTTGCAGAAGGTCAGCGCAATCCTAAAATAATAAATAAATTATTTTAAAAAAAACCTGTGCTTATTTTGTTATCGAAATTATAAAAAAAAAATTAAAAATGTTTGTCTTTGTGTTTTATAAATTCTTAAATACTAATAATATTCATACAGTATAGGTTGTGAGACGTAACGTTCTTTAAAATGTTATGTCTGTGGTGAACAAAATAATCAATTATATTGTATAATAATTATTGTTGCAATGTATCATGAAAATCAGTATTTATTTCGAAAAAATCGATAGTTTTATAAAGTTATCGATAAAATATCTTTCTACAATATTTCAAAATAATCGTTAAAATATCGATTTTTTCATAAAACTGTCCTATAACTTAAATAACTTATCAATATCATGCAATTTTTATGGTAAGAAATTTTTACAAAATATCGATATTTTTATAAACTTATCGATAACTTATTAACTTATATCAACATTATGCAATTTTTAAAATAAAATTTTTTAGTAAAATATGTTATTGTAATAAAATGATAGATAAATCGGTAATTATAACGGTTGATGCTCACTTGTACAAATTTTATATTTTCCTCCTATCATCCCAACTCTCTTCGAAAAATTCTGCTGGCTTACTGCTCTTTATATGGATTTGGAGTTATGGCGAAATTGAGAGAAGCGTTGGCCTATGAAAGCATATCGAATAAGAATATTCTGTTATATATGTAAAGATTTTCTGCTGCATAAAATGATCAAATCCATTAAAAATCAAATTCAAAATGTTTGCGAGGATTAAATGTGTTGGAACATAATTTTCTAATAGTTTTAAGATATTAAATATTTGCAAAACACTTACCAGTTCACTCATATGTAAGCAAGGAATCGTACAAGGTTTAAGAATTAGTTAAAGGAACTAAATTTGTGTAAATAGGTGGTAACATGCAAATATATTTCGTAAGTATTAAATATAATGTTAGCGTCGTATAAATCAAAAACAAAAATTGTGTAAATATCAGGTATAATTAAAAACAAAAAAAATTAATAACAAAATAAAAATTGTGCAAACTTTTACAGCAATTTTCATTAAAATAAATTCATCAAAAATAAAATTTCATTGCTTAAAAGTTAATTTCATTCGTAATTTAAAATAAATCATTCACCTTTCCTCGGGATTGTTCATGCCACCTGCTAGCTTTTTGAGTGCTTGCTAACTTCAATAATATTTTTAGGTTATAAAAAGTGTTTATGTGCAGCTTTCTAGATTTGTTCAGCGCTGTAACTGTGTATGAAAATCACAATCAATTAGTTTTGTTAAAACGCGCACGTTGACAAACTGCGTAACCATCAGAATTTTTGGGCGTAAAATTTTCTGCTTTTCACAATATTTTACGCTAATTTCTATCATAATATATATAAAAATATTATTTTCAATTGAATGCAGAAATTTCTACTACTTTGAATATAAAATTGCACCACGTAATATTTTGATTTTTAGTTGTTATTTTCATGCTTCTTAAATTTATTATGTATGACTAAGGAGTTTTGTATGATTAAATAGTTTTCTAAAATGTTTACTTATTATAAGAGCTTAGAAGAATATCTAACTAGTAAAAATATTTATGATAAAGGTGAATGTTGCTTTATAATTACTTTACACTCGTTTTTGTATTCTTTGTTCAAAATAATGGTTTAATGATTTATAAATATTATAACAAATATATTTAGTATATTTATAGGCCTTTATGAGAATATTTGACAAATGCGCTACACCAATTACCATTCGTACTTTACCGAAGCTGTCTTTCTCGTCACGAGCCATAGTTTAGCACCATTGTTCCGAAGACCATAGTTCTGCCGTCAACTCGCCGCAACCACTTTCTAGTATACGTTTGATACGCTTCGTGTATTAAATGCCATGTTCGTCTGTAAGCATTATATTCTTCTGGAGAAGTCTTGCAAGCTGTCCAATCCCTTAAAAAGCTCCGTTGAAAGTTTCAACCGCTATCCAGCTTTGATAACAAGTCTGCATTACTCAAAAAATTCAATATATATGTATATATACATCGATCTTAAACTTAAACTCCTTGTAAAGTAAATGCATCGAGAGTTCTAATTTTTTTTATTATTCTTTATTTTCGTTATTCTCAATTTGAATGTTTTCGCTGCGATCGCCGACATTATTTAAATTCAAAAAATTCAATTCAAAGACCTTGGTTTTCCTTAATCTTCATTCAATATTGTACTGGTAATATTTTCATATTAAATATTACACATATTTTTGGTCTTGTTTGTTTCATAACTACTAAATTTAAATTAATCATTAAATCAGCATCAAAAATTTGCAATTCAATTCATTTAGTTGACTATAATAATTATTTTTTTTTCATTTGCTTAATTTTTTTTTTTTCAAATTTTGCTTATTACGTTTTAAGTTTTTGTTTTATTTTGAAATAAACTAATTATGTATTTATTTGCCCTTTTTCGGTTGTTTAAAATGTACAATCTGCTGTTATGTTATTTTAATAATTTTTCTTTAATTTATTTAATTTTAAATTACTGCTAATTAAAGTCAAAATGACTGAAATCCTATATACGTCTATATATTTGTTTACTTTCATTAATTAATTAATAATTCAATTTAATTTTGCTTCATAGTTTTCTGCTGCACTCAATCATTCATACAATAAATTTGTATTCATAATTAAATTAAATTAATTTATTAAATTGCATTTATTTCTAGTTATTATTAAGTTTAAATTACAATTAATTGCTAATAACGACATAAAAAATCAGCGCATGACTTTGAAAATCTCGCAGTTTTACACTTTTAGTTCACTATAATTTCCATAGTTGAAATCTGCTTGCAATGCATTGCATAATTCTCAATAAATTTAAACTTATTTCATATTTATTAAAATGCTAGTTAATCAATCCTTATTGTTTTCCATGCGTCTAGCTTAAAGTTTAAATAGATAAAGGAGTATTTTTGTTTAAATGGTTGTCCGTATTTTTTCTTTTTTTAATAAATAGTTATAATTTATTAAAAATTTAATTTAATTTAAATATTTAAAATTTGTTAAATGCAACTAGTTCGCTTATTATTTATACATCTTTTTTATGTTTACTTAATGCTTTAGAGAAAATTTTCAGTATTTTATTTTTGTTATTTGCTTATTTAAAAAAGGGGTCTGAAAAACTGTCTGCTTGCTGCCGTTGTATGACACACAATACTTCATACACTTGTTGCCCCCCCGCTGTTGGGTCGTTTACTTTTCACACTCACTGTCAGTTGCTGTGCGTGTCTAATGTATTGTTTTCTGTGTACTTAACGCTGCTTGCTTCATTTTCTATGTAATTGTAAACTGCTATTATTATTCTCTTTTATTTTTGTGTGTTTCAAAAGCTCTCTCGCGCTGCTCGGCTCCAACCACTGAACCAGAGCGGCTAATTATGTTACTGACTACACTCTTTATGTTCTCGCTATTTGCTACTACACGGTTTCCAACTTTTTTCTAAATTCTGCTAGTTATAATATTTACCTTATTTGATACTTATTTTGTATTGCGTCCACTACCGTTACAAATGTACGTGTACTGTTAGTTCCATAAAAATGCTATTGGATTATCTCACTACACTGACAGGTTATCTGTTTGCTAAGTTACTGCTATTTCATTTAACCGTTAAAATTATATTAATTACCCGCAAGTTTTATAATATTTTTCGTTCGTAGAAAAATTAAATTTAATTATTGTTTATATTATATTCTTTACTTAAAAAAATAAAAAAATTATCCAAACTCTATTTTCGCCGGATCGCATCGTATTGTACATACATACATTAATATAACATTATCATTATTATTTTGTGTGGCAGCGATTGTGCTTTACTTGCATTATTCGACTTTTATTAAGTTATTTTATTTAAAGTTTATTATTTAACCCCGTTTTTGCATTTGTAACATTTTGTGTTTAATTTTTCATTCGCTTTTGCATGGCTACCTCGTCGCTTTAAGCAGCGCACAGAGGTCCCCATTGTCTTGAATAATTTTCTTTAATACAAATTTAGAATTCTGGCTTTATACCCTTTTAAGCAAAATTTATGTTCACACGTTTTTGCTTAAATGAATTGAAACATAGGAATTCATAAAAAATGATATCGAAAAAATACATTCATACACTACTACATATTCCCTCAAATCGCTTTTTCGTATAAAATGTAATACTTGTTTTTACCTATAATTTGTTGAAATTTTACCCATTACTTATTATAATATAAATTTATTACTTTTTTTTAATTATAACTACATATATATAAAACTTTATAAATTGCTGATATTTATTATATGTTTTTAAAACAAATTGTACAGTTTGAGAAATATTGATTGGCTTACGAAATATTGTGTATATTAATAAAAGAGAGACAAACAAAAATTATGCGTGATTTTGCAAGAAAAACATTTTTTTAGAAAGTATATTTACAGCTAATAATATACGCTAAATCAAAAAGTAACCTAAGTAAAAAAAAACTTAGAGTTTAGATCTTTGAAGAAGTAATGCCAAGTCAGGCTCCATAATAATATTTGAATGCGGTGAAACGGGTGTTTTTTTTGACGTATGCTTTTCAATACTTTTTTTCGGCGTTGGCCTTTATGACAGCTGTTACTTTATTTATACTCAGTTTGGTTTGTCATTTTATAACGAACAGATTAATTCCGCAACAACATTTGCAAATTGTGCAAATTTATTACCAAAATAATGGTGTAATATTCGGTCAGACATAATCGCTCAGAGGAGTCGGTAATTCGAGCCACCATGGATCAGTTTCGCACCAAGTTTACTCTAGTGTATAATGCGCATCCTCAGAGACATAAATAGAGACGTACAGTGCGCATCGAAGACGCTTTGCTGCTGTGCAGCAGACTATCGAAGAAGACTCGAATGAGTCCATCTACCATAGCGCGCAGCAATTAGAACTTTCATCTACTTTATGATGAGAATTTACGGAAGGATCTTAGTTTGGTTGGAATAATTGTTCCATATTTCTTTAAAAATAAAGCCGTCCATAATGTTACGGTCATTGGGGAACGCTATAGAGCCATGATTAATGACTTTGTCGTACCTAAATTAGAGGAAGTTGATGGTTCCATCAAAACGGGGCTACCTGCTATTAAGGAAGCGAAACAATCAATTTATGGAAGAAAACTTTTGGTCGGTGAATTATCTCGGAATATATTTGAGCTAGTCGAAGCGGTCACTTGCCTAAATGAATTTTCGAACATAATGTTAAATTCTTGTTTTTCTAATAAATAAAAATTCTTGGCCATAACGTAATCTATATGCGTTTTATTTCTACTTGAAAATGATATGTTGAAGAAGAACACGCTTTATAAAACCGATTTTCAAATCAGTGACCATTATAGGCATTATGCGAGAGTTTGCTTAGATTACAGTACTTTGAAGTTGTTCATTTACTCTTTGTTTAACGTCAAATGTGCTTGTATGTTACTTTGCAATTCTCTCTCACTTTACCATAAATAAATAGGGCAAATTTGTTCTCGCGTGATTGATTTTCCATCTCTCAGTACCTAATGCAACTGGAAACCTCTTTACTGATCTAAAAAATCTATTTGTTGAAAGTAAAAAACCAAAGGTGAAGATAAAGTAAGTAAAGTAAAGTTTAAAAGAAAGGTGAGTGAAGCAACCACCGTATTCAAAATTTGCATAATGATTGATACATGTATTTTAGTACAGTTATAAGTACACAACTTTCGAATAATTTTGCTCCTTACTGTACGCGTGCTATAAATGCATAGGTGCATTTTGCAATATAAATATAAAATTGATTCAGTAATATTTTTTCAAAAATAGTAAACTTTTTAGAAAATAAATTTTTTATAAAAATTGTGGAAAGTGGCTTTTACTTGAAGTTGACTGCTTTAATTCCATAAATATTACTTATACATTGAGCTCAAATTTATGAAGTCATTGATAATATATTACAAATAACATTTGTATAAAATTGTAATTACTTACATACATCTGTATGTATGTATGTGTGTATGAAATATTTGCTATATCTTCGTATATATATTTAAATAACTACTTTTGCAAATTCATTTCTCGGGGGTATGCATGCCTGTAAGTATGCGTGTAAGGATTGATTTTCCATTTGTCAGCAATATATTTTTCTCAGTGTATTACTGCTTTGAGAGGCTTTTGGTTTTTAGTAGCTTCACAAATTCTATTTGCTTGTGGTTTTCCATTGCACGTATTTTCTATGCGTCTTGTATGCTTTATCGTTAAATTATTTATTTTAGTTGTGATTTATGATGTACATGTGAAATATTTGCTATTTCTCTTGATCCGTTTTACAGTAATAAGCTGATTTATGCTTGCTTTACATAGCTGGTATATCAATTACTATTACTTTTTTCAGTGTACTACTCGTATTTTGGTTAAAAATTTATTGTGTGTTTTTTTCACATTTCCATTTTTTGTTTTTACTTTATTTGTGTAATATTAATTGTTTTATATTCAAAGCAAATTCTGATTGTATCTATTGCACAAGATTTACAAATAGAAGCAGAATAACCATACTAAACTAAAGAACAACGATTAAAAAATAAAGCCAAAAAAGTTTAGTTGTGTTACAGCTTTAGTTCATTGCATTTGGTGTCCGCTACTCTAAAGCTTTCATGGGCTAACGAAGCTTGCGACAAAAACTTCTATAGCGCCATGTGTAAGCGAAAAAGCTTCAGCCAAATGTAGTGCGTGTAAAGCCGTTACTGTTCAGTCAGTGGTTTTGCTTGTGTATTTGTGGTTTTTTAACAGTCGATAATAGCTTTGCACCGGTGAAATCTGCTTACTGAAGCAATTTTGTAGCTTATGAATTACCGCTTGTGTAAGTGACTGGATTTGTGTTGATTATTTGTTATGCAATATAAGAAATTAAAACTACTAACGTAGGTATGGTTCTCCAAATTCTTTTTAAATTTATTTGCTGTACTTTGAGATGAACGAGCGATTTTTTGTTCGGTTCCTACGCTATTTTAGCATACGCAACATTTGCTGATTTTAATGTAGAAGTAAGATTCAGTGATTTGTGGAGAATTAAAAGAACTTTGCATACATCAGATTTCAATAATTTTTGCGCAAGAGATGTAGCCTAAACGCGCGATTGAATGTTGAAATACCAGCAGCAATTATATGTAAGAGATATATCCAAGGATTTAAGAGCTGACACTTTAATCATTTCGCAAACTTTTTTTAAAAACTAAAAAACTTACATTTATAAAAACAGAAGATTTATAACTCATCAAAGAACTTCTACATGAATTTCTTTGCTTTGAATCCCATAGAACTCACAAAAATCAACAAATTTGCTCTTATTTTAATTTGGAAAACTTTATCACATAAGCAGCCCTATACCAAACAAATGCATTGTTAAGTGCCCCCACCTGCGACATCAAGTTGGTTGCTTACATACATATACATATATATTATATATACGAATGCATATAGCGCACCCAACCGCCGCCAAACAATAAATCGCTCGATCATAACGCATTTCATAGGATATACATTTTGCCGTCATCAACACGCAGATATTATTGCTCGCAACCATTTCTTGCAGTGCATGCTGTTTTGTATCAATTCTCTACGGGATCCCGCATTTCGAGTCCACACACACGCGCCAGCGCAACCACATACATATATGGTGACGCGTCGTGTGTTTTATGAGCCTTTTGAGGTGTTGTTAGCTTACTTCAACTTATTTGAACGCAAATTTCGCGCATGACATTTTTCCCGCATTTTTCATGTTCATTATTAGTTTTTCATTGCAAAATTTCCCAGTTTTTGGGTTATTTATATTGGTTTTGTACGCTTGTTTAAGGTGTTTGGAGAGGATTTTTTATTTTATTTGCTGGAGTTTATTTTTTTATGTCGTAATTGTTTTGCAAAATATCGCATGCGATAAATATTTTAATACTACACGCTAGAGTTATTAGTTGTTTTTGTTTATTATAAATAATTGGCAGTTTTAACGGCTTTTTATTTAGGCATATCAATGCATGCGTCTGCTCTTGCTTACTTCGTTTAGATTTTAGTTTCATTTTCACATTTTCACGCGTGCGATAATTTGCATACAATACACGTTTATTTGTTCTCTTGTTTAATGGAAACCTTTGTGAAATGTCAAAGTAAATAATAAATTAAATTGAATTTTGTAACGAAATTTTATAATTTTGTAATCCTTTCTAACTAATGACATGAAAATCTCATTTCAACTATCTGCTATGACATCGATTTACTTTACTATTATAAAATCTGCTGAGATTTAAATATGTGTATGAGCCTTATGCAACTATTATTTATCTTAATTAAGTGGTTGTATGTAATTATGTTTGTAAATTTACCTATTGGAGCCCAGTTGTCATGCAAATGGTTTGGAAAGGAGTTTATGACATCTCTCAGATTTCATTAATTTCATAATGATTCCTATTGTGAAGTTGATTTATGTATCTATATATAAGTAATATTAATATGAATCCTATTTACTGTTATGGTGAACTCTTGCCGATTTATGCTCACTGCATAAATGATCAGTGTATATTTATATTGTATGTATTTCCTATATACAAAAAGCTGCTTCATAGCTAGAAGTGAATTACACATTATTTTTGTTTTTCGCTTTTCAAATCGTCCACATTGCTTACACTCACAGTTTGACGTGAAAAGTTAAGACGCCAGTTAAAAAGTGTGTTCGATAGGTACTAGGATTATTACATGCTTTAAAACACCTCAGTTTGTTTATGTCTGCGAGTATTTTTGGACTTTATATAAGAAATATCAATTCTAAATTTATTATGCTTGTCTTATAAGGAAGGTTATGGTTGAGATTGTAGTTTGAGACAGTGGTTATGTGTCAAATGGTAATCAATTGAGTAATACATTGAGTTGTTGATTTTTTTATGATAACTCTTGATGAAAGTTTACTCCTTTGTGAAAGCTTTCTTATTTAAAATGTATGAAAAAATATTTAATTAAAGTATTCATTGAGTTTTTGAGGTTTTTGTGAAAGCTCTAGATAAAAGCTAACTCTTTTGGGAAAGTTTTTAATAATAGCGTATTATTTTGAGAAAGCTTTCTTACTTAAAAAACGTTTCTATGCAGGTATTTAGGGAAAATAGGTATTCTGGGAAAATAACTAAAGTCTAACTAATCAAGTAATCATTGCTTATAAACTTTTCTCGGGGCTTAGGTTTCGTTTCTACCTATCCAACTGCTTTCTATTAAACTCTCTACACTCTAAACTTAGCAGCGTTTGTATTTAGTTGGTGAAATTAGTTTAAAGTTTCGTTTTATATTTTCAGTTTGGAATTAAAAAATCTATTTACGCGCTAAGTTTTTGTTTAGGAAGAGAAAAAGATTTTTTTGTTCAAATACTAACAATTTAACTAAAGTATTTTTTATAAATTGGTTTTAAATATATTACGATATTTGTGTTTTATTTTCTTTTTAGTTGTTTTTTACGATTTTTTTGTTTGTTTAAACTTGTTGCATAGATTAAACAGTTTTATTTAGATTTTCCGATTTTTTTGCCAGTGTATTTCTGTAAGTGTATGTCTGCAGGTCTGTGCGTTGGAGTGATTGATTGTTGAAGGTGAGCGTTTTTGCTGTTGTTTTTTTTTTAGGTTTTATTAGTTTTTTTGTTTTGTTTCATGTAAATGTGTGTGTAGCTGGAACGCTGCTTTAATTGTGTTTGTTTTTCGCTTCTTGTGTTTTCTTGCCCGAAACTGATTTTCGCTTCGCCATATTTGTATCTGTGTTTGGTGACATTGTGTTGTTGTTGTTGTGTACAAAATGCGTTTGCATACATCCCAGTGTTTGTTGTTTTTGTTTGTTTATTTGAGTAGTTATGTGCGTGTATTTGTGCGTCTTTGGTTGTGTTAAAATTTTTCCGTTTGTTTGTGTGTTTAAATTTTTACGTTTTTTTTTTGGTTTTAAATTTTAAAGTTTACTTAAAAATTTTCGTTATTAATTTAATAATTAACAAATTGATTTTATAATAAAACCAATAACAATAACCTCGCTCATATGGCTACGAGACAATAATATGTGGTGCTGATAGTAGTACAGCTATTGTGGCTAATATTGTGAACATTGTGAATATGATAAGGCACAGTCTGTCAACGACCATAGCTGCGAATTTCCAATCATTGGCAATGTCATTTTCTTCGTCTTCTTTGCGTAGCTGTTTTTGTGTAGAAAAATTTGTACAAATTCCATACACATTTTGTAATTTATTTTATGTATTTAAATTGTTGTTATTATTATAATTTTTTTTTTAATTTTGTGTTTTTAGTTTTTGTTTATTGTTTTAGGTTAAAGGTTTTTTTTTTTTTTTTGTATATTTCGTTTTATTTTTCAGACAAAAATTATATTTGTGCATTTCAAATTTGTTTAAAAAATTTTTTTTACATTCATTTATTAATTTTTTATTATTATTTTATTTTTTAATTTTTTATTATTATTTTATTTTAATTTTTTAAAATATATTTTAAAGATTTTTATTTTATAATATTGAAGTGCAAGCGCGAAGAAACAGAAAAGAGAGAGTGTAAGAAAGAAACGTAAATTATTTTCTTTCATTTGCTAAGATTTTCTATTGGGTTTGTAATTTTGTATTGATAAATATGTTTTTAGTACTAATATAAAACATATTATAGGCTTATATATATAGGAAGTATTTATAATCTATTTATACAGGGTCAACTTCACTTGGTGATGGAAATATCTTAAAAGTGTGGCTTAATTATTAACAAAATCCATGCAATTCGTGATTATACAAGTCAATGTATGTTGGTGGAGTTCAAAAGATGTAGTAATTTTTTAAATAATTACAATAGAATAATTATTATTGACAGTATATCCATTACTGCTAAAAGTATAAGCTCACAAGGAGTCTATAAATAATATGAAAGCCTTTTATAATACACCACTAATAAATATATTAAATAAATAATCAATAAAAAAATTAATTAAATTCCTTCAAGTTAACAGCTCAGTGTGGACAGTTACCACACATCGAGCAAAACGGCAAATGCTGCCTTCACCTCGGTATTCAGTACACACAGAGACAATAAAAGCTCGGCCTATCGATACTTTTGGCTTAAAGAGTTTTTTTTTCATGAGGGCTTTCCAAAAAAATATTATGTCTCGGTTAGCTGAACCAATCTTTGTAAATAAAATTTGGCTGAATGGTAACCAAGTTTTATAAAAGTTTCTACAAAAGTGGACTGAAATTTCTACAATAATAATAAATATTGTAGTAAGGAGTTTAGAAGGTTGCAAGAATTCAGACGTCGAGTTTTTTCGAATCGTTATGTCACTACTGAAAGTAAAAATTAGAAAATTATGATTGATTTGTCATTTAAGCCTAACTCTTTATATAACTATCTTAAAGAAGCTATAATCTTACATTTTTCGAATACTCTGCTAAGAGCAGAAAAACCGATATAGCAAAGTTCTAAGACGATTTGTGTATTTTCTTGTTAATATATAGATCTTAAAAAAGCTTTAATTTTACAGAAGATTTATTTATTATTGTAGTATTTATTTATTTCATAATTGCATTATTAATAATTTGTAGCTCGTATATGATTATCTAATGAAAGCTTAGGACAGAGCATAGCGAAGATCAGCACTATTATGAAAGCACAAAGTTCTGGTGAAACGAGCTTTTCATCTCATTTCTAAAATGCTTTCTCTCATTGCATATTGTGTCAAGGGCGAATAACGCAAGAGAGAATAATTTCTGTTAAAATAGTTTTGACTACTGATTTTTTTCTTTAGTAAGAAAGCTATTATAAAAACAGTGGACGTCTTCCAGGACTGTTTTCTAAGTTGTTGAATGAACTTCTCTAATAGTTGATAAACCAAGCAACTTTCATTTAGAATAAAAAAAAATTATATAATTCAACAGCAAATATTTGAAAATCGTCCAACATACCTGATCGGTTATAAAGCGAATTTCCTTCAAAATTAAACCTAGTTCATATTCCGTTGCTGATTTGATGCACGTGTGATGCGTAACGGCATCCGGCATGCGGGTGCTACCGATCGGGCCGATGCTGCCGTCATCGCCTTGACTATAAGATGAAAATAAAAGAATTTAGTAGATGATTTTTATTTCAAAAAGGGCGATAAAGTGGAGTGTGACCAAAACTAAGTCCCTAAAAAGGACTTAAGCAATCTAATAAATATACTATAATGCACGAAATACAAACATTTGGTCACACTCTACTTTATTTGGTAATCTCATTTCTATATGTTTTCGCTCATCAGCTTGTTGCTGTTACCCATAAACGGTGCGATAGAAAGCGGGATTGTGCGGTAAAGTGCCGCCGGGCGTCATCGGTCGGCAGTTGTGTCGGAAATCATCGTCGATGTCGAGCACGTTGGCGAGCAGCGATTTCGAGGAGCTAACGATGAACAGCATACAATTGAATAGAACAGTTTTGGTCAAATTGATCAAAGTAGATATATGTATATAGTGCAACAATAAGATTCAATGAATTATTAACGGTTAGTAATTATTTTGCATAAAAATATTTGTGTTTTTGCCTACCGCTCCTTCAGTTCAACATCGGACAATATCTGATGCTTCCGTTCCGATGATGTGTCCGAGCACGGTGTCGTGGGGAATTCCAGTATCAGTGGTCTACCAGGACGACTCATGCGCAGAATCCATGGCAGCCAACATAAAAATACGATGCGTATCTATGAAGGAGGCCAGTTGTGGAGATATTTCGTTTTTTTTTTCGCCGATGGTCAAATGAAATTCATGCGGCATTGTTAGTAATCAGCATATTATTGATAGAAAATTTAGTGAGATTTAAATGCATGTGTGTGAAAATTCAATGGGTCGCTTTTGGCGAAAGTGGATGCTTTCACAAATGTGCATTCATTATCTAAGCAGTAGAAAGTTGTTTAAAGCATTTCTTAAGCATAACCGAATTCGTGTATAGATTTGGCTTTAGCAAAGACAATGTCTGTTTAAAAAGCGCAAACGCCTCGACTTGAGCAAAATTAAAAGAATGTACTTGAAGTACATACAAAATTGTTGTTGCTAGCAGCCATGTAGGTGTTGAAGCATACTTGTAGGCGCATGCCAACTCTATGATTTATGAAGCACCGTTGGCCAAATTTTCAAAATTTTCTCTTGTCCTGTTTGGTATTTTTTTTGTGTTTTTTTTCTTATTTGTAGTGCATAGCAAAATGTTGGCTTATGCTTACGCCTTCACTTTCTGTATATATAAAATTTGCTTGCTTGTAGGCTTATTTGTGTGCCTATTGCGAAAACATCCATTTGATGGATGAGTTTTCAGTTAAAGCAATGTAATATAATATTCGGGAATGCATATAAAATTGTTTTTATGTTTAAACTTAATAAATTTGCATGCAAACATTCTAGTTGTTAAAAATTGTAGCATATTTATAGGCACGCTGACTTTCAGTTAATAGACTCTGCTTGACTGTAAGCTTTTGAAATCGCATACAAATATATTTGTTTGTTTACTTAAAACAGTAAATGTAGAAAATTGATAGAATACTACAATTAATTATAATTCGGCATTCTTTAGTTACTTTTGTGAGTTGTTTGAGCAAAAAATGTGTCTTTTGTATAATTTATTGTAAATATTTTCTGTTTCATATTAAAAGATGCATATATATTAGGTGTACATATGTATTTATATATACCATTTTCCATAGAAATAAAAATTAAAAGTTTAAAGTAATCTCTGTGTATTTTCTTCAACATGTTTCACGTGTTATCAATTTTTTGCAATGAGTAGCCATCATGGTAAACCTTTTCAAGTAGAGCGACTTTTTTGAAACATTTCACAAAATTATTTATCTGGGTACAATGGACTTAATAATGGCTTAAATGTGACCGCTGACAACCTCCGTTTTTAACCGTCAATTTGTAAGACATTTTTAACTTAGTGTAATCGACCCCCCAAAATTTCTCTGAAATGACTGGACTGATCGAGTTGACAGCTTTACACGGCCTTCATAGATATATATTTTTTGTTTAGTTCTTTCATTAAGGTTGCCATTTCATCGTGTTATGTGCCACTTTGATACAACGCTTGGAAATTTTCCAAGACTGATACACAAATTCCCGTTCTCCTAAAAATTCACATATTCACGTTCATCGTAAAATTATCTTCTCAGATGTGTTCCATTTCTGGCTTAGTGGCTTCGTCAACAAACAAAATTATCGCCATTGGGGTGAGTTAAATCTCAGGTAGTTAAAAATTGACCGTTTGGTTCGGATTGTGGTATGGCGGCATCATCGAAAATTACTTTTTTTATCTACACCTACTATGTATATATAACTACATGAGATTCAGTAATATTTAATGCGTTTCAAAAATTTTCACGCTCTTTGTTTTCAACTGTTAATTAAACGCTAAATAATATATAACGAAGAGTGAAAAATACAATGCAATAAAGTGACAAATATTTTGTTTTCCGGCGGAAATGATCAACTATTTAACAAGCACATATACTTGTATGTATGTACACTTCCATATACATTGACGTATGCTTATTTGTGTGCAAAAGCCCAGCAAGGTAACAGGATGATAAATGTCTATTCCAACGAGCGGGTTTTTCACTCTCTTTTATATGTATGTGAGTATGCATTTGTATTCCACTAATAACCAGCGAGTGCACCGGATTTCTATCCGCTGTTTTTCTAACTCCACTGAGCTTAACTTCTGGGACTGCTTCAGCGCGAATGCATTAACATTTGCCATTTTTGCCCACTCAGGTTCGTGTGTATGCATGTTACAGGTGTCGAACGAGCGAGGCGTTAAATTAAAAAAATCACGATGGCTTGGGCTAGTTGAAAGGTGTTGTGGTTTTGCTTCTGCATTTTGTTGCATTTATTTATTTCACTTTAGTTAAAATGCATGCAGCGCTCAAGGGCAACGAAGCTGTCATGCAAAATAAATCTACGGCAACTTTAGTGGGACGGTTTTTTTGCAATGATATTTATTGGAAGAACAAAAGCTGCAATAAAAATTTCAGCGCAAATTACTACGTGATTGAAGGCCGTTGGAGTCATGCTTTTGTTTAATATTAGTTTGCTCGAAAAGATGTACATATCTGATCAAATTTGACCCAGACTGGGCCGAAACCAAATCGATAAAAATTTGTTTCCAAGATTGGTACAAACTTTTTTTATGTGCTTATGAAGTTCAATCTCTATATCTCAATTAGTGTGTGTTTGGCAGCTATTTGTTTACGACGCGAAAAATATGTCTGTCGGTTTGAACTTTGGAAAAAATTTACCAACGAGTTAGCTTAAAATTTAGTGTCTCCAATAGATTGATGGCTATGACATCGACATTTGGGGAGTCTACTTTATCTAAAAAACAAGTATAAGTGTGGCAAAAATCATTCAGAAAAAGTCGTAAAGTCATAGGAGGCATACCTCATGTGAGTCGTCCTCACACCTGTGTTAATAACGATAACAACGAAAAAGTTACAGAAACACTTCTTGAAAGCTATCATGTTGGCATCGAAAATAGAGCAGAGCAAAAATGAGCCTAAGCCGAAAAAAGCAAAATTCACTAAATGCAATGAAGACCATTCCAGCCAAAGTTTATAATAAGAGTATGGAAACTTTCATTAAGTTATGCTTATATTGGCTCAAAGGAAACCCATTTTGTAGCGATAAAAAAGATTTGTAATAAAAGCCTTGAAAATTTTGTTTTTTTTTTTGGCAGTCTGGGTCAATTTATGTTTTATGGTATATGCGTATAACTCTAAGCAACTAACATAAATTTCAAACCTTCACCTATTTTATGCACACGTTCAATGCCTTGAATATGCACCGTAATTATTACTGCCACGTACAAACTTGTTCCGGCCTTTCTTATCGTTGCGGCAATAGTTTGATGGCTTCTCAGTGCTGCAGGTCGCACAAAACTCTTTGAAACTTCAATGCAAGCAACTTTGAATTATTGAGATAAATGTGCTTTTGAACTAAGTTGAATGCAAGCTTTTATTGCATGCGAAAACCGCATTTCACAACTTGTAGAAACTCGTAAATGCATTTATTATTGATATGCTCGTAATTTATGGCTTACAATTTCACAACTCTTGTTTGTTGCAGTTGGAAAAGTAGATTTCCTGATTATTTGTGTACATAGGTAGAAAGAAGCCTTCCATATGGATTTGTATTATGTATGTACGTATGTATGTATGTATATTTTTGCTTCTGGTATCAATAAAAGCATCTCAATTTGATTTCTGCGCAAATTTCTACACTAAATTTTCACTTTTGAAATATAATAATTTAAAGTTCATATTTTAGGAACACATAATATTTCTTAAAAGACTGTTAACGAATTTGAGTCACCTATTAACTGATAACCTCTGCTGAAGCGCGCAGATAGCACGATGCGTGTGTTGCATGAAAGCAATTAGCTTGGTAAAGCTGCTGCTAAACGTTTCCTTGTATGTGTCTGTAATTGGGGATTGCATATTCTCTGCAGATAATTGAAAGCTGCTACGAATTGCATGCCACAACTACACAAATCAATAGCAGGCGTACGTTGTGTGTGCCTTTGTGCGCTTTCTTGGGACTAATATATGTACAAATAACGGGCTAATCGAAATTTCAATTTCAATATTTGCATGCAAAGCTGCTGGTTTTGTGGTTAGCATATGCCAAATGGCAGACAACAGTGCACGCACACATGCGCACAACGCTTTGCATTGTCATAGCGACGCACTGCAGACTTACTTCTGTGGCAGTGTGTGTGTGCTTATAAATGCAGATATTATTTGCAGGTATTGTTGCTAGGCAGCAGCGTCCTTTGTAGCATGGCTTTAGCTCACTTTGTTGCCGGAGTAGTCACCTCGAGTTAGGGCAGTTACTCATACATAAACTTATTTGAATATTGAAAAGCGTTGCGTAATTTCGACTGAAGGCAGTTATCATTGCAACTTTGTTCTAATTTGCCACCGAAACACTGATAAGGCTGGCACACATGCTGCATGCGTTTCCTCTTTTACTAAAATCGAACATGCCAAATCACAGAAAGGCGGTGCGGCACACGCATATTGCTTTCAATATAGGTATAGACATACAGTTATATATTTATATATATATAGTTCTATATATAATATATAATATAATTTATATTCTATGCTAAGCTTGCAAATATTTGCACCTGTCAATTTGAGCGAGGCTCTGCCGCTTGATTGCCTTTGTTGCCGCTGCTGGTGCCACCTGGTGCACCACTATTACATCCAAAAAGCTGTATGTATATATTCAAATACATTTGTTTATACAAGTATGAGTATATTTGCTACTGCTATATATATAGACACAAATAAATATGTGAAAATGCAAATGAATCCCGTTAGTGTGATAGCAAAAAGCTCTTTGAATGTTACAACTCGCTTTGCAATTACTTTTGTATGGATTAAAATCTCTACAGCGGTTTGTAAGGAAACATGAAAATGCACTAAACTGCGGGTCGGAACAACAAAACCTCACAAACAAATACCAAAGCTATACATAAGAAAATTTTGTAATAGTCGAGTGCAATTCGACAGTAGCTTCCAACCATCAACTTGTAAACAAACGCTTATATATTGGCATATTAAAGTATATATAAAGTGTCGTGAAAAACATATATTTTTCCATCTAATCACTTCTTTTTCCACTTGATAGCAACTATTGTTACGTGCTGTGT